CGGTTTAACTCCATTGCCGGGAATTCTAGTCATTGGATATACAGTACTTGATCAATAAGTACGACATACGAGTTATCTTTGTTATTTAAAAACTACAGAGACTTCGTATTTTTAGGATCATCCCCAAGTAAAACCATGCAGTGTTGCTAGATTGTGCACAAGTATGAAAGGTGGTTTCAAGCACTATTTTTGTTATTTTCAGCTCTATGGGGTTGAGACTTCGTATTTGGGTGGTCAGCCCTGGGGACTTTCATATAATGTTGTCAGATCGTGCACCAATTTCCTTACTTGGGAAAAACCTAAATTTGGCAACATTGTACTCCGTATGGTTTATAACACTTCCTATTTCATTAGAGCTGTTCGTCACAAAGGTAGACTAGGTTGCATTCAAATCGGTGTATTCTCACCTCTGTATGCTGCCAGCCTTTTTACGTGAACAATTGACTTGGCTTCTGGCAAAAGAGGAATCCTATACAACAAGCCGTTGATCTGATTTTCTTTACGATATTGTATGGTCCTTCCTACCGTCTTTGTAATTTCGGGCTTAGTTCCTTCTTTGGTTTAGGCTGATATAAACGCACGATGTCGCCTTCATTGGAAGCGATCATCGACTGGCGTTTGTCGAGTCTAATCCTCGGTTTGTCTCTGTTTATACGCAATTTATTCCTGCCGAAGTCAAATCCACTCCACGTCTTTCCTGGAGATCATACATAATCTCGAAGTAGGACTTGGTCTTTATGGGCCGATGGTCTGCCAAACGTTATATTTGGTCTCCCGAGAAGCTTAGCTTCTTTTTCAGTCAACAGCATCAATCAATCAGTCAATCAATTATTTATTATTTATGCCAATACAAATATTGTTTACACATGTCAAAAATTTGAATAGATACAAACTAAGGAGGCAAAAACTTAAATCTAGACATTTGTCTTACTTAATAATAAAAATAAGCTAAAAACACATATTGACAATATAGATACATTTAAAATTTAAAGTCTAGAAATTCAGAGAATGAATAAAAGCTGTTTTTAAGAAAAATCTCCCCAACCTTCCTATGCAAGATATTGTAGGAAAGTTCTGTAATATTTTGGGGTAGTACATTGAATAATTTGATTGACCAATAACCCGGGCGTCTCGACACCTTCTGAGGCGCCAGTATAGAAGCACGAGTTCATTTCTATTCCTGGTGTCATATTGGTGAGTATTTTCATGCTGCTGATAGTTCCTACTTTTCTTTGTAAGAAACAGATACTCAAGAATATATAGGGAGGGAACCGTAAGTATTCCCAAAGAAACAAAAGCCCCCCTAAACTCATCTCTATATCCAAGGCGTGCCATCACTCTCACCACCCTCCGCTGCAGTGTAAACAATCTATGAACCCCCGCAGAGTGCCCCCAGGCCATAATCGCATAGGATATATGGGAATGAAAGATTGCAAAATAATCCACTGTCAGGACAGGCAAAGAGACACAAGCTCATAGGTTCCTAACAACATTCACGCACTTTGTTAGTTTTTTTGGCGACCTGGTTGATATAAGGTGCCCACTGCAGCTTTGAGTCTAGCGTGACACCCAAGAATACCTACTGCCTCTGCCAGACCATCCTCACAGTCACTCTCTCATTGGGAAGACCATTATTTTAGTTTTTTCTCTGTTCAGCAACAGCCTGTTCGACGCAAACCATGCTTCAGCCCTCGCTTGTGCTTCCATGGATCCAGCATACACAGACTCCAGGGAGTCTCCAGCAAAAGAAATAGTTGTATCATCAGCATACAGGGTGAAATGCCCACTGGCGCCATTTGCTGTTAAGTCGTTGATGTAAATGAGAAAGAGAACAGGTCCCAAAATGGAACCCTGTGGAACACTTATTTTTACCACCCTCTCCGCTGACGTCACGCCATCGCACCTCACGTGTTGGCGCCTATTACTAAGATATGGTTTTATCAGTTTGATGCTGCTGGGTTTAAAATTGTATGCTCCAAGCTTCTGCAGGAGGATACCATGGTCAACGCAGTCGAAGGCCTTGCTAAGAACACAAAACAAGACCGTGCTATATTGCCTATCCTGAAAAGCTTCCACAATGCTAGAGATGAGGTCCAAAATACGCATTACCGTATTTTTACCTTGACGGAAATCAAATTGACATGGTGAAAAAAAACCACTTGCCTCGAAAAACTTTGCGATTTTCAGAGCTATACATTTCTCGCATATTTTCGAAATAATTGGCAACGGGGATATCGGTCTGTAGTTTTCAGGCAAGTTGCTATTTCCTTTTTTAAAGATAGGAATTACCATGGCTTTTTTCAGAACATCTGGAAACACACTGTAGTATAACATACCCGGGTTCGTTCAGCAAGATTAAACGGTTTGAATTTTTATTACCTCTTCTTTTAACAAATCTTCTAAAAAAACTAAATGAAAAACAAATAGGATCTACGTTTTGGAAAATTACTCAATTTTACTTACTGGACATGCGCCCGACAATAGCAAATATTTGGGAAATTTAAGGGAAGTTGTGAAATGTAAAATAAACGAAAAATTTGTGAATGTCTAATTTATCATTGAAGAAAATCGTACCGTTCTCGACCTGGAACTCACGAGTGGAAAGAGCACGCTAGAGAAACCCTCGATCTAACATTCCTCAGAAATCCAAACATAATGTGTCATTTTAATAAATAATTGTGAGTAAATAATACAATGATGTAAATTAGGTACCGTTCCTGTCCTTGTGCTAAAATTTTAATTCCACACACTACATTAAATCAATACCACCTAAATTCAACAAAAAAAAAACACCTAATTTTTCTAGGTTTAAATTACCTTTTTTTTATCTGCGTTGTTCACAGCATGAAAAGATTTTAGTTAAATACATGAACAATGCACATGTTACAAAAAAATTTATAAACAAACAAAAAAACATAAAAATGAAAAAATAATACTTGTTTAAATTGAAATCTCAAAAACAAAATCACATTATATTCAACTGACCTGTGAATGCTCCTTATGACACACAAACTAATCACAAATTGAACAATCAGTTTAATACAAAATAAAAATTCAATAATGAACAATGGCGGACAAGCGGTCTAGGGGACAAGCGTCTTCTCTAGTCTCTACCTACCCTTCGGTACCTGTGGCGCGCCCCCATTCCCATAAATTTCACAGCGCATACATGGTTGCAACATTTACTTTTATTTAGTAAACGTTTCAAGAATTTAAGATTTAAAGAGATGATATTTTAAATAGGTGGTTCTCCTCAACACTATCTCTGAAACCCAAATTTATAAGCTTTATTAAAGCTATTAAAATAACGATTCTGATGGTTTTTATCATTTTGATATGAAGAACAAAGATATCCCGGCTTTTTTCCATTTTGAGACTATCAATCACCTCGCGCACTTCGTGATATGTCAGCATTGTTGGTGTATGGTTATAGTTGTTCAACAAGTACGTTTCGGATAGACTTACGGGGTTGAGACTTCGTCGATCAAACCTGAGCACCCCTGTGCGGTGTTGCCAGATTGTGGCCCATTTCTCCACCTTAAAGAAAACCTGAACTTGGTAACGTGGCACTCCGTAGGGCTTATGACAATACGAAATCCCATGTGATAATGTAATGACGTATATTGATATAATAGGTACTGAATCAATCGCTATTCGCTATGCAAAAAAATTGCTATCAATTACAAAAACGATGTGAGCAACCTAAGCCAAACCTAGCTCGGGGTAGGTAGGTACTATACTCGGTACCATAGGAAGGGTCGAAATGTTCTTTTCAACCAGTTCAACTAGTTTATTACATTTACGTGTTGATCAAATCTTAGTTGTAAAATATAGAAGTTATTTTGTTTCAGACAAAGCATTGAAGAATATTTGAAAAGACGAAACGACAATTAATTGTGCTGGAAAAAATGTCAAAATTATGCATGACTTAAGACCAAGAAAACTGAACCTTATATTTATTTTATTTCTTAATCAGTTACCAAATACTCCTATAGCTTTTTAGCATCGAGATAGCTGCTTCAAGAGATCTGCTCTAGGCGAATGCTTTCAAAACTTTGTGAACGAACTTCATCTATTGCCTTACGTCTGATGTGAAAAAACACTTCGATTCAAATGATCGTCTATACCCAGAAATATAAATGGATATCTTATGAAACTCTCAAGCGACTTTTTGTTATTTTATTAAACCAACTTAGAAAGAAATTTAACATACTTTTTATCGGTTAACCTTAAAAGCGCCTCAGAAAACATTATTGCGCCAAGGGAAAATTCCATATACCTAAGCCTTAATGGAAAAACGGAAAAGTTTTTCCCTTATAATAATGTACGAGCGTTTATCATATGGATTTTGCAGGAGAAAAAAGTCACCCTTTGAATTTTTTTAAAATCAATACAAAAAAATTAGTCTTACGTTTACGACGGAAAAGTCAAAAGTAGGCTACGCCTTGACGTGTTATCCCTATTTGTTTTTTTTTTCTCAATAGGATAATTTTTTAAACTCAAAAATGATAATACCTAAACTCAATTTACCATAACGATTTCCCAGGCGGTATCAAGACAATTAATGAATGACCATTAATTATTGTATTTTATTTAAAACTTTTACAGAATTGGCTGTAAAGGGTTGGGGGACGTTACCTCATTTTTACATATTATAATGTCCAAGTTTTCAAAATAAAAAGTGGGGTGCGCTAAAATAAATACCCTGTGTACATAAAATACGCTTTTTTTGTATGAGCATTATTACAAAATAAATTAACTAATTTGTCACCAACTTTATCCACAAACAAGTGAACCACAAACAACCACGAGATAGATCTATGCGTGAAGCAGAACTGAAATTTGTTAGCAACCGCAGACAAATACGAAAATGTCTGTGGATCTGGAGGTCTAATAACCTCATCAACCTCGAAGGATACAAAAGAAGCCTTTATAACCTGTACTGGCAGCATATTTATTTTTGGATATGTCTAAATATATAATAACAATAAATAACTTACCGCAGCCAACATGAAATCATAATTGCACATACACAATTTTTTTAACTTAACAATATCTCCACTTTTTAACAAATGTATCCATGACTCTTCAATGTGCCTTAATCTATATGTGACATCCTTGTGCAAAGTTGATTGAAATGGTGTCTCCTTAATCTCAGATAATAATGGAGCTGCAAAAAAAAATCCCAGCTAATTGAAAATGTTTCGAAAAATCTTAGGAATTCCCAAATAGAGAAATCGCTTACATTTTATAAAGTTATTTGTGTGGAATGTCTCTAAATTTTATTTTACGCTGTACAAATAAACCCATAGCCACTTACATTGTATTTTTTTGGGAAACCTCTGGAATTCAGACTGAAAGAAACTTTAAATTAAGTTTTCGAGTCTAGATTTCTGTCGCGGTTTGAGGGGTTTCTTTCAATTTAAAAACTTATCTTTGAACACTTCAGAGAAAAGTGCTTTCGTATTATACCTACTCAAATAAAAAAAGTGTATTTATTATTATATAAATAGAGAAGCTGAAAGTATGTTAAAGTAATCTATTAACTTAAGCTATTCAAAAATTTAAGTGCAGGGAGTTCTTTAGGGCCAAAATATCATTAATGAACCTCTTAAAACTCCGAGAGTCTGCAAATTGCCTTTGGTTTTTAATAACGGCACGCTCCAAACTTTCCATTACTGCATTGTTTTGGTATTTTTTCCTAACTTTTATTTAAATTTCCCTCACGAGGCAATTGAGTGGGTGATATTTCTCATTTTTTGCTCGAAAATATGAAACTGGCATCAGAAATGCGTAATTTTGTAAAAGCAAAATTCAAACCTTAGGCATTACTTTGAAATATCTCTTCCAATTTAAATCTCGTGATAAATTATCCCAGCTTTCGAGAGAACATTTTCATACAAATATTCTTTTCAGTTTATCAAGACAAATTATTCATTTCATCAGACTTTAGCGAAACCGATGGAAAAACGCATGTACGCTAAGAATAACGGAGGTAAGGATAACCTTATTACCTACTAAGTGATACTAATTATTATTTCTTTTTCAATCCCTAAAACAGCAATGCTATTTGCTTTCTATGAATTGAAAGAAGGTATCTAAAGGATTGGAATAGATATTCATTTAAGTTGCATACGAATAACAAACATTTCAGGATATTTTGAGCATGAAGAAAAAGAAATAATTAATTGTTTATTCCAAAACTTTCTGTGCGCATTTTCATTATGACATAAAACTAAAAAACATCTTTAAAATATTAATACATAGCGTCACACTTTTTTTCTGCGGTTGCAGTAGGTATTCTATTTTTCTATGAAAAAATGTTTAGTCTACACAATACTTGTTGTATTTGTTTTTTTTTGGAATCATGAACATGATAGTCCGGGGGCCGAGGACCTTTTTTTCAAATCATTAATAACAAGCTAGTTTTTTCAATGCAGTTTCATTTCACCAACTTTTTTCTCAACGAAAATTGCGAAAACAGGTAGCTAACATACTGCGCAGGTGTAAAACATGTCGATTTGGTGACTATGAAAATTTAATCAATAACAGTTAGTTTTTTAGCTAAATGTTGAGATAATTTTATAAATAATTTGAAACAACCTTTGTCCGACAAAATAAAGGGTTTGGTCTACGATGTCCCCCCTCTCAAACATGTAGCAATTACGTTGCATAAAAAATGATTAATAACAAGTTGATTTTTTCAATGTAGGTTGGTAAATATTATTACAATTAAATGGTCACACTGTCCTACAAATAAACAGGTAGCTATTTTCAGTCCTACACTCAAAAGTTGTCGATTTCACGATTTAACTTTTTTCATTAATAACCGGCTAAATCTTCGTGAGCATCTTCATTTTGATAAGACGCCCAAATTTTCTTTTGCCAAAATTCCAAAAACAGGTAGCTAACTAACAGAGTGCGCAGGTGGAAAACATGTCTATTTGGTGATCATACAAATGTAAATAATAACAGTTAATTTTGTAGCGAAATGTTGAGATAGTTTCATAACTAATATGAAACAACATTTGTCCGACAAAATAAATGGTTTGATCTAGGCTGTCTCCCTTCTCAAACATGTAGCAGATACGTTACATAAAAAATTATTTATAACCAGTTGATTTTTTTAATGTAGCTTAGTAAATATTACTACAATTAAATGGTTACACTGTCCTACAAATAAAGAGGTACATTTCTCCAGTCCTACACTCAAAAGTTGTCGACTTCACGGTAATACTTCATTTATCAATCACCGGCTAAATCTTCTCGAGCATCTTCGTATTGATAATACGCCTAACTTTTCTATTGCGAAAAGTTGCAAAAGTAGTAGCTACTAAAGTGAGCACTAGTGAGCAGATGTAAAATACCTTGATTAGGGGATTATGCAAATGTAATTATTAACAGTTAACAGTTAATTTTTCAGGTGAATAATGAGATAATTTTATAAATAATTCGAAATTCGATTTGAGCCTCAAAATAAATGGTTTGGTCTGCAGTGTCCCCTTTCTCAAAAATGTAGCAATTACTGGCTCATAAAAAACGATTTATAAGCAGTTGATGTTTTTACTGTAGTTTGGTGAATATAACTACAATTAATTACACATTGTCTTAAAGAAGTAAGATTTCTCAGCTCTACATTCGAGAATTTCGAAAATAGCCTTATGCATATTATACGTAAATATGTACAGGGCTTTCATTTCAAAACTTGCCATCCACGTTATCTGCGTAAAGAGACAGATTTCTAGAAAAAAAGATTGGATCAAACCTTCTCAATTTAGGTATGGAAAATGACAAAGGGCATGGCCCCCTCTACTTTGATGGCATGCCAAAACTCTCTTTCGAGCAATTCAAATCTGGCGCGCTTTTTAAATCACCCTATACTACGATACTGTGTTATTTACGAGCATGCGCGTCAATTCGTGTGGGTATATACACATAACACATATACTGTTATACACGCATCTGTGTACGTACACGTCAACAAATTAACGTAGGTACCCCCTCAATAAATTTGTTGACGTGTTTCGGCGATTTCTAGAAATCTGTCTCTTTACGCAGATAACGTGAGTGGCAAGTTTTGAAATGAAAGCCCTGTACATATTTACGTATAATATGCATAAGGCTATTTTCGAAATTCTCGAATGTAGGGCTGAGGAATCTTACCTCTTTAGGACAATGTGTTAATTGTAGTTATATTTAGTAGTAAAAAATCAACTGGATATAAATCGTTTTTTATGAGCCAGTAATTGCTACATTTTTGAGAAAGGGGACACTGCAGACCAAACCATTTATTTTGTGGCTCAAATCGAATTTCGAATTATTTATAAAATTATCTCATTATTCACCTGAAAAATTAACTGTTAACTGTTAATAATTACATTTGCATAATCACCTAATCCAGGTATTTTACATCTGCTCACTAGTGCTCACTCTAGTAGCTACTACTTTTGCAACTTTTCGCAATAGAAAAGTTAGGCGTATTATCAATACGAAGATGCTCGAGAAGATTTAGCCGGTCGGTAATTGATGAATAAAGTATTACCGTGAAGTCGACAACTTTTGAGTGTAGGACTGGAGAAAAGTACCTCTTTATTTGTAGGACAGTGTAACCATTTAATTGTAGTAATATTTACTAAGCTACATTAAAAAAATCAACTGGTTATAAAGCATTTTTTATGTAACGTATCTGCTACATGTTTGAGAAGGGGGACAGCCTAGATCAAACCATTTATTTTGTCGGACAAATGTTATTTCATATTGTTTATGAAACTATCTCAACATTTAGCTACAAAATTAACCGTTATTATTTGCATTTGTATGATCACCTACCTGTTTTTGGAATTTTCGCAAAAGAAAATTTGGGCGTCTTATCAAAATGAAAATGCTCACTAAGATTTAGCCGGTTATTAATGAAAAAAGTTTAATCGTGAAATCGACAACTTTTGAGTGTAGGACTGAAAATAGCTACCTGTTTATTTGTAGGACAGTGTGACCATTTAATTGTAATAATATTTGCCAACCTACATTGAAAAAATCAACTTGTTATTAATCATTTTTTATGCAACGTAATTGCTACATGTTCGAAGGGGGGGGACATCGTAGACCAAACCCTTTATTTTGTCGGACAAATGTTGTTTCAAATTATTCATAAAATTATCTCAACATTTAGCTAAAAAACTAACTGTTATTAATCAAATTTTCATAGTCACCAAATTGACATGTTTCACACCTGCGCAGTATGTTAGCTACCTGTTTTCGCAATTTTCGTGAGAAAAAAGTTGGGCGTCTCGGTGAAATGAAGCCTCATTGAAAAAACTAGCTTGTTATTAATGATTTGGAAAAAAGGGCCTCGGCCCCCGGACTATGAGATTCTTTAACTTTTATTAGTTTCCATAAAACTTCATCAGATAAGTTGATATCCCACAGCCCAGCTGACTACAAATAAAATCGCTCTCGAAGTACACAAAAGGATCAAAAGATTTCTACCTTAAAAGGTGGGATTAGTAGGGCTAAGTACGAAATCACATTGGCTGTCAGGGGGCCATAGGATCGGGTGGGTGGTAAAAGACACAAAATTTCAGTCGAAAATAACAAGCTACCGTTCTAATAGTTACAAATATTAGCAGTAGATATATTCTGTCACTAAATTTATTTGAATTTGGCAGAACGTTTCCAAGGATAGAAAGTGCTGGTAGACTGTCTGCCTCTAAAAGGCGGAAAAGTCAATGGTAACACTGTGATAACGTATATTGTAACGGAATTGCCTCGGGAGCCGGACCGGATTCTGAGAATGCAATTGTCTGCGCGTCGCGGAAACAATTCGGAGAATTCTCTTCAAGTAAAGCGCCGGGTTTTTCTAGATAAATTCCGAGTAAGTCAGTTCAAATTCGAGATTTGTTGTGTACTTAGGATTGGATAAGTGATAAGTGAATTTTATATAAAGTCAATTAGTTTAATAGAAGTTGTTACTGTCACTGTTTGTGGAGTGAGTTTTAGTGAACCTGGAATCCGTGATAATTTGGTGTCAAAAGTGCGATTATTTAGTAAAACAATTGATGCATTAATTTGAGCTCATTAGAAGGAACGTTCATTAGGCAAGATAATTACTGGCGCATTAATTTGAGCTGAATAGTGAAATAATTGGCAAAACAACTACTGAACTAGTTTGAG